CATCACTTAACGACACAATGTATAGTTGTACTGCTGAAGTGAACACAAACCCAGACAGTTGTCCNCACTCTGAGAACAAAACTGTCAAAATAACTGTGAAAGGTTAGTCTAACTAATAGTATCAACATCATAGATTCTTTATTCTATTTAAAACATTATATTTTTAGAAACATACATAGAACGGGTAGATGTTGTTTCTCATGAATCATTCCTAATCAGTTCAACAGTAAATATTGAGTGTATCATTATTCTTAATACTCCAGTTGGTCCTGGTATACAACCCACTGTCACTTGGTATCATGATGCGACTGATATTACACTCAGTGGTTCATTATTGAGGAACAATGACATTGTATTTATTTCAGTACTAACTATTAATTCAATACAAGTATCTGATGCTGGAGTATATCAATGTAATGCTGGGATTGATTCTAATGTAACTACTGAAAGTATCAGTGTATGTGTAACAGGTAATGCATTAGACAACAGTGTAGTAATTATTAATGACATTCTTTATTCAGTTAATGAGACACTACCATCAGTAACAGAAGAACTATCACTTGGTCAGTATTATTCAATTGATTGTATCACTGGACCAGTACCTACTGGAGTATCAGTATCCTGGCTACTTACTAATGGTTCTATTTATAGTAACAATAATACACTAATGATACCATCAATACTACCATCACATAATAATACACAATATAATTGTACAATAATGATTGAGACTAATCCTTCTGACTGTAGTACTCAATCACAAACCATTACTCTTAGAGTGAAAGGTAAGAGTCTAGGAATAATGATTGTAATAATTATTCTTATGTTGTAGCTACTTATATAAATTCAGTGATTCTATTGCCCACTTCAATAGTCAGTGTTGACATTAACTCTACAGTAGAGTTGACCTGTACTATCAGTCTTAATACTGGGATAGGTCCTGATACATCATTCATTAGTCATTACTGGTATCAGTATAGAACTGATATTAGTGATAGGAGTACACAACTGATGATTAGTGGTGACAGTAAGAGTCTAGTAACAACGCTGAATATCACTAATATTCGACCTTCTGATGCTGGAGAATATCAGTGTAGAGCTAGTATTGATGGTAATGATACTATTATAAGTAGCTTCACAAATCTTTGTGTTCAAGGTTAGTTAGTAAATTTTGTTGATCTGATATAGATCTAGCCATCTTATTCACAGTACCTGGTAGTGTAATTACAATTAATGATTCATATACTGACCTGACCATAGGAGATACTATAAAGTATGATTGTGCATCAGGTTACAGACAACCAGGAGTGATCATACAATGGAGATCACCTACTGGGGCCCTATTGACTAACCCTCTTATGTTAACAGTTAATCAGTCAGTCACTTATACGTGCATTATCAGAGTTGAAGCTAATACTTGTCAGAATTCTTTAACTAAAAATGTGACCTTCAAAATACGAGGTAAAATAATGATAAAAAGTTCAGTAGCTTTAAATTTTGTATGTAGATACATTTGTGAAGGAAGTGACAACAAGCTCCTCATTATTAACTTTGTTAGATACTTTCCAACAGTTGAAGTGTAACTCGACTACTAACACAGATATTCATATTAATGTCGTTGACATTAGCAGCATTGTTCAAATATCTTGGTATAGATACAATGGTAGATCTATTGAAAGCATGAAGATATCCACCAATTCATCAGGAGTGTCTATATCACCCACTGTACCTATTAACAATACATTATTTCAGAGTACACTCATCTTTAGTCCAATAACATCATCAACTCCAGTATCAACACTTGGTAATTACACTTGTGTAGCATGGATAGGAGATGAATCAGGTAGAAATGAAACATCAAATGATGTACAAGTTTTGATGAAAAGTAAATTAAAACTGATACTAGTATGTTACTATTTCATCTTTGCTTTTATTAGTAAATAATTCCAGAGACCTGGTGAGTTTCAATCAGTTGCACTTCCTCTACACAGCTGGAGATGATCTTGTCATAAATTGTACCATCACACCATACGAGATGTCTCCTTTACTTTCAACTTTTGCAACAATAGAATTGATTCACAATAAAGTCTCTATAGTAGAGCCTATCATCACTAGCAATGAATACACTAACATTACAATCAGTAAAGATTTCAATGGTGTAAAATTATCAGATGCTGGAACATATACTTGTCAGTATTATCTAGAATGCTCTAACTTCACATCATTTGTTTTACCAAGTGAAATTAAGACTGATGACATCAATTTATTTGTAATAAGTGAGTTTTACTGTTACTCTTGAAAAAAACTAATCATGCTTTTACTTTTTAGTTCCAAATAACAATTCTCCTCTGATTTCTTTAATCCCTGATGAGCAGTATTATGATGTTGGTAGTAATGTCACTCTTACCTGTTCTGTTAATTATCCTCCAACTGATTCCCACATTGATGTCAGCACATCTTTAAATATCAGCTTGTTCATAGGCAATGACTCACTGATAAGACAGAGCTCTAAAAATATCATCACTTATGAGCTGAATAACTTGCAATTACATGATGCTACTTTATACACTTGCTCATACTTTATCAGTAGTGACAGTGGCAGTTCCTTTATACTGAACAGTGAATCTACTAATAAGTCGATTGAGCTGGTAATTAGAAGTAAGCTATTCTACACATCTGTCATTATTGTAATTCTCTTTTAGAAATTGAAGTCAATATCAACTCAAGTCATGTGATCCTATTAGACTATCCTCCATATAACAATGTCTCCATTACATGTTCACTGATGTATGAGCCACTCAATCAGTTTACTGACAATGAGCTACAGAACTGGTTCTATCAAACAAATAGCACTAACATCACACTAAGTTTGGATGAGCAGACAAATCAGATATTTCAAAAAGAAATCAGTTACACTAGGCCTGGAATAAGTCTATATGAATGTGGAGTTATGCTATTAATCGAAGGAAAAGAAAGCAATTACAGTAACAGTATAAATATTACTGTCAAAGGTACACACACGTTTTTAATTTGAAGCTAATAATAATATTTTCTTTACAGGACCTGGCTTGCCTAATAAACCAATTAACATGACGTCAGTTGTTCTTAATACAACATCAGTTTGGATTGAGTGGGTAGTAACATCAGTGACATATAGTCCTGAGATCTACACTGTCCATTATGAGTCACTGTCATGCTATCACAATGGTAGTGTTAGTATCAATGGTAATACTTCAGTTGAAGTGTTTACACAAGAATCGAATACTCCATACTCATTAACTATTGATGGTCTCATGCCTGGAATAAAGTACACTTACTATATAGCATCAAAGAACACTGAAGGACATGTAAACACTACAAATGGAACATTTACACTACTAGAAACAAGTATGCAAAATTGTGTTCAATTATTTAATTTTAATTTTAATAGTTCCTAATGGCGTCCCTTTAAAATTTGAAGCATACAACATTACAGCTTATGAAATGACCTTTACATGGCTGCCTCCACTGGAATGCTTTAGAAATGGAGATATAATCAAGTATTCTCTCAGCTGCTCCTTTAACAATGCTACTCATTCTGATATCCAACAATCATTACAACACCAGATTATATCAAAGAGAGAGAACAGATTCACTCTTCATAATCTCTATCCATTTACTAACTACACTTGTCACCTTGCAGCAGCTAATGGTATTGGTGAAGGACCTGCTGCCAGTTTAAATGTCACTACACTAGAAGCAAGTATGAGTTTAATGTGCAATTGATGCTCTACTCTCAATTATTACTGGTTGCTTTTACAGGTCCTGAGTCTGAGCCAGAGAATTTAACAATCATATCAACCAGTTCATCATCATTAGTCTTGACTTGGTCAAAACCAATTCAACCTAATGGTATCATAGTAAAATACACCATCAACTGCTCAAGTGACATATTTGAGAATGAAACTATTGATAATACTGTTGTATTGAATGGATTGGTACCATACACTAATTATACTTGTTCAGTGAGTGCTCATACAAGAATTGGAGTAGGACCAGCAGCTATTGCAACAGGACAAACTGATGAATCAAGTAAATTATATCCCCACACAATAAATCAGTGACATTTCTTATAATTTTAGCATCAGAAGCAATATCAAGTTCTTCAATTTCATTCAGTGACACTTTAATATTATTTAATTGGATGAAGCCACTTGTCACTAATGGACAAATCCTGTATTATCAAATAAACCTGACAGTCAGTTCTACTACAGTGAAGACACTACAGTCTAATGGGTCAAACTACATTACCATTGAATCAGGTAAACAGACACTCTTCAATACAACTAGCTATACTGATATTGCTGTACAGATCCATTTGTTCCATACCAGCTCTCAATAGCTGGGTATACTAGCAAAGGAAGAGGAGAACTATGGGTTAGCAGTGTCTTTTTCTCAAAAGAAGGAAGTAAGCTTCTTGGGTAACATAATAACATCATCAATTGTATTAGTCCCTCCAAATGGACCAGGAAACGTAACTGCAGTTTGGATTAATAGCACGACTGTTAAAGTGACATGGCTACCATTAACACTAGCAAAAGCAAGAGGATTCATCACACGTTACAGTGTCTATGCTGGGAATACAGGAATTGCTAATGTTTCTAATGATAGTAGCATTGCTTATATTGATAGTCTTAATCCCATGTTACAATACTCTATATCAGTTTCAGCCAGTACTAAAGTAGGAGAGAGCAGTAACAATTCCGTGATTATACTACCAGCATATAGTTAGTAATAATGAAAATAGACTCTATATGTTTAATGTATCAATAGTTGTAGAAACCAGCAGTAACTGGCTACCACTAGTAATTGGAGCAGGAGGTGGAGGATGTGTTGGTGTCATTTGTATATGTTGTACCATTATAGTTTGTCTTTGGTAAACATTATTCATATGATTATGTGTTATGATTGTCATTAAATGCAATAGTTGTAGGAGGAGGAGTAGGAGGAAAACTCCCACAAAAACAGAGGAAGCAGTTGAATTGTACAGTTACATCACTAAAATAACCACAGACTCCGTAGACAATGATTACCATTACATTGCAGGTGATAATTATCATTAGAAATCATAATTATTATTTTCACTATGATTGCAGCACCTTTAGTTTGTCAGAATGAAGCAGCAATAGTTGGTACAGGAGCTCAAAGGATAAAAGTAAATGAGTTTCCATCATTTGTTAGCAGATCTAAAAGATCCATAGAATACGAGTTTGAAGTAGGTGCTCATTTCTGAAACTTTTTACTTGATATTGTACTCCAGGAAATAGAACGAATATCTCCAATTAAGGCAACAAGCATTGGAAGCAAAAATGCTGCATTTAATAGATTTGAAGACGTCTGTCCTTGTAAGTGATACATTTCATGTCTTCTTATTCTTAATCAACAAACAGTTGATGACAATATTGTTCCATTGAGCACAAGTGAAAAAGAAGAAGACTCAATCTACATCAATGCATCCTATATTGATGTAAGATACAGTATTATATCCCATTGGTTTTATTGCTTGTGTATATGTATAGGGCTACCAAAGAAAGAATGCCTACATAGCAACTCAAGGTGAATCATGTATAAATATTAAGTTATTTTCTATACCAAATGCAGGGCCATTGAAAAATACTATTGGTCACTTCTGGCAGATGATAATAGAATATAAGCTACCGACTATTGTCATGTTGACAAAAGTATTTGAAGGCAATATTGTAAGATATAGTTTTCTGCTGTACAAACTGGTCTAACTTTTGATGATTATAGCCCATGGTTTTTTCCAAAAAAATGTCTCCAAAATTACCCCAAATTTTTATTACATTTTCTGATACATATTGATGTCCTTATGCTATGTAGAAA